CCCAATGAAACCCCAGGCCCCCACTCACAGATTGTGAGATTGTGCAGCCTTTGACTTTGGAGCTTCTTTGGCGTCTGCCTGAAGAGTGGAAGGATCATCTGAGGCCAGGTGAAAGCTCCCAGGGGTCTGGCAAGTGCAGGGTAAGGTCAGGCAGCAGGAGTCGCGAGCCCTGGGAAGATTGCAGTCTTTGCGGGGATGAATACGCTACACATTGGGTCGCAGTTATTGAGGCTGACTGTCAGCATAGCCTTTGACTTTGGAGCTTCTTTGGCGTCTGCCTGAAGAGTGGAAGGATCATCTGAGGCCAGGTGAAAGCTCCCAGGGGTCTGGCAAGTGCAGGGTAAGGTCAGGCAGCAGGAGTCGCGAGCCCTGGGAAGATTGCAGTCTTTGCGGGGATGAATACGCTACACATTGGGTCGCAGTTATTGAGGCTGACTGTCAGCATTCAATTTAATAAAGTCTGAAAGTGCATGTCCCCACTAAGCACATTTGGTCCAGAGAATACCTCCCCTCTACTTTGGCTACTATCCACTCTGACAGGACTCTCACCCACACTGCTGATAGAGGCAGCAGCGGGGAGGGGAGGCTGGTAATAGTGTAGTCGATTAACTGATAAACAAAAGCTTATTAGTTAATGCTTTAGGCTAGATGCATTTCCCTCCCCCCACTCCTTTGCCAGTAAATTTTTTAGCAGGCTGGTCAGCAGCCTGACTCTGTCCTGGCTTGTGATGTGTCTGGGATCTACCCCTGCTGCAGCTCTACATTTAAAGTGTATTAGGAGCTGGGTGGGCCGGCAGCCCAGCTCAGCTCTGGCTTGCACCAGGTCTGGGAGCTCAGCACTCCCCTAGACAGTGTCTTCTGCCACCCTGCTCTGCTGCCTCTTTATCAGCAGAATATACACCTAGAATCGAGATGTTAAAATGCGTGACATTTTCAGCAGTTACACATTTATAATGATAAATAATAATAATAGGCATTTACTTGAATTTACACATTTTAACATCCCTATTCTGGGTATATTTTGCCAGCCACCCATGACACATTTACTTTCCTCCACATTTACTTGCTCCTTGAAAGCACTGGCAAACAATCATTTTGCACCCTTTTAACCCTTGTTATCACTGCAGATGCCATAGCATGGCAAGCATGGACCCTACTTAGGTGTACACTGTTGGGTCAAGCAATGCAAACACCTCACCTGTTATGCTACGTTTGTCTAGAGCAGTGGTCACCGACCAGTAGATCAGGATCCACCAGTAGATCGTAGAGCCTCTGACAAGTGATCCTGACTGGTTTGGCCAGGAAGCTATCAAATGCTGAAGCTTCAGTTGCCCCTCCACCCACAGTCATGCTGCTCCTGCCATCTGTCTTAGGACTGCCACCCTGTGAACCTCCTGCTTGTTGAGTAGAGTATGGGAGGAAGAAGAGGGGGAGTGCTGATGTCAGGGTGTCCCTCCTTCCCCCACTTCTGTATCCTATCTCAACACAGAGAGGAGCCATTGCTGTACATTCCAGCTGCTTTCAGAAGTGGTGCAGGATCAGGGCAGGAGTAAGCCTCCCTTAACTCCACTGCTTCACCACCCGGAAACGATCTCAGTTAACTGGTGCCCAACCAGAGACTGCTTCCTGAATCCCTGCCCCAGCCCTGAACCCCCTCCTGCTCCCAACCTCCTGCCCCAGATGTGAGCCCCCCCTCCACCCAAACTCCTTCCCAGAACTTGCACCCTGAAACCCCTCCTGGACCCCAATACCCCACCCTGAGCTAAGCCCAGAGCCCCTCCCACACTCCAACCCCTTGGCCCAAGACCAGAGCCTGCACCCCAATCCCCTACCCCAGCCTGGTGAAAGTGAATGAGGATGGGGGAAGAAGAGGGATGGAGTGAGCAGGGTGAGCCTCGCAGAAGGAGTGGAGCAGGAGCAGGGCCTCTGAGAAGGGGTGTGAAGGAAATGGGGCAAGGATATCTGGGTTTGAGGTAGATCTTACATTGCACTTATATTGAAAAAGTGATCTTGTGGTTAAAAAGGTTGGAGACAATTGGTCTAGAGCCTAACAAGGAGCCACCTGTAGCAAGGAAGAACGTGGGGAGGCTACAAACAGAGAGGTGCAGGAACTCATTGAATGGAGCCATCAGCCTGTGCTGGTGACAGTCGAGCATATTGATACTGTGGAATACCAATTATGGTGCCAAGAAACAAACACAGACAGTCAGACCACGTAATTATATAGTTTGGGATGATGATCTTGGCTTCAAAACTTTCACATGCATAAAGCCACTTTCATGGAACTTTGCAAATTGCTTTCCTCCATCCTGAAGTGCAGCAGTACTAAAATGAGACCTGCTCTGACAGTTAAGGGAGCAGCAATAGCCCTGTGAAAGCTTGCAATGCCAGTCTACTACCAGTCAGCCAGGAATCCGTTCAGAGTGAGTAAATCTACAGTTGAGTTGATGTGATCCAAGTAGCAAGGAGAATCAATACCCTTCTGCTAGGAAGAGTAGTGACTCTAGGAAACATGCAGGACATAGTGAATAGCTTTGCTGTGATAGCGTTCCCTAATTGTGGTGGGGTCTACTTAAGAACGGGGTGACGGAACCCCGATCTAGCTGCGCGCCCCCCCAGCAGACCGCCGAGACGCGCCGCGGCGGTCCCGCCACCCGCGTCCTCCGCGGCGAGAAAAGCTGCTCCGCGTCTCCCTGGTCTGCTGGGGGAGATCCCCCGCCGAGACGCGCCGCGGTCCCGCCGCCCCCATCCTCCGCAGCGAGAAAAGCCTGGTCTGCTGGGAGGGGAGGGTGCAGCTAGACAGAATGCATATCCCTTTTTTGCACCAGCCCACCTTGCCAAAAAGTACGTAGTTCTCAGTGGTATTACAGGCACTAGTGGATCACAAAGACTGTTGCACCGACATCAACCTGGGATGGTCAGGAAACGCGCATGATGCGTGCATCTTTAAGAACTCCAATCTTAGCTTAGCTTTATCCTCCAGAGCCCACAGCGAAATGTCCCTGTAAGGGCTCCCCATAGGTCAGCCCTTGCCCAGCCAGCTCCCAGGGAGCACTCTTACTCTACTTATGCTACATCAATGACATCTTCATTATATGGACCTACGTGTAAGAGACCTTTGAAGAATTTCACAATTCCCGAATTGTCAAAATGGGTCCCCATCTGGAAAAGGTTGGGAATTGCTGCTCTATGGGAAAGAATTAATGAACACAAATCAGATATTTGAAAAGACAACACACAAAAACCTGCTGGAGAACACTTTAATCTTCCTGGACACTCACTGATGGATTTCCAAGTAGTCATTTTTTCACAGACCAATTCCACAAGCCAAATACACAGAGAAGGGTTGGAATTTAACTTCATTCAGAAGTTTAATTCTTATACAAATGGTATGAATTGGGATCTTCCACATCTTAATGACTTAAGCAACCAACCAGACAATGAAGGTGCTAATGGTTCTTGATGTCTGTGTAGAATCTGGTGTTAGTCATCTTCCTTTCCAAGTGCAAACTAATGGTTCTTATCAGCCTCTTGTAACTATTTAGTCCAGTGGTCCCCAACGCGGTGCCCGTGGGCGCCATGGCGCCCGCCGGGGCATTTGTTTGCGCCTGCCGACAACC